GCCGGTCCAGCCTCTATTTGAAGAGCAACACATGAAAGCAGCCGCGGACCCTCCACGCGCCTTGTATCGGATCTTAATTAAAAAGACTTGCATATTATTTGCTGTAACAAAGAGAAATTTGGGGGTTCATTTAAATCCAATTAGGCCAACGCTGATGCCTCGGGAGATGAGAGAGTAATTGGTGTTTGAACACACAGGTCTTTGTTCTGGGCTCCAGTAGATTGATAAAGGCAGTGAGCACACAGGGGAGAGGGTTGTGAACCGGCAACTCTGGGGCATAAGAACATCCAAATCATATAGAACAAGACAATTAGAGGAACGTGCTCCTTACATTCGCTTAACAATAATAACAGCGGAGCTCACCGGCTGGAGGTGTGACTGAGATCTGTTGATTTAATTGCTTCTTTCATAATTGCTGCATGTCATCTGTTGTAGGTGAATCTATCAGGTTATATTTGTGTGTATTACAGGCACATCCAGGGAAAACTCAGAAAATGAGGATAAAAAAGTAATTTCAAAAGGGACCTCTTGTATAATGCATTTGTATCCGTCGCTACTCAAATATGATAATGATCATGAGTGATTGATGGATTCATGTTAGTTAGTTAGATACTTTTTTGATCCCCATGGGAGATATTCAGGTGTCCAGTAGCAGCAAAAACACATCCATCCACACAAACAAAACAAATAAATTGATCATTTTTAAAAGCTAACAATAATAATAAGAAACAGCACTTCAGGTCACAGCAGCAGAGGTGGAGTCGCTCAGTTTGGAGCATTTTTTCTGCTCTGGTCCAAAGTAAAATGCTGAATGCTTCATAAACATTTTTCAAAAAGTTAGCATTTCTCCAGTGGATTTTCGCCTGATCCGCTTGTTTCGGACCATGAATCCTCTCCGCTTCGGTCTGGAACAGTGTAAAACATGAACACGGTACTGCAGCGACATTTCAGGTAGAAAAAAAGCAATAAAAATATCTATTGTAAAGCACGTACTGTATTTATTCATTCAAAAGTATTTACAATATTTACATTCCTTTGTTTACATAACCTTTTGTAGATGTTGCCTATTCTCTGTTTACAGTATATATTTACAGACATGCAAATATATAAACATAAATAAACAATCAAGCAACCGTATTCTCCACAGTTTCACCATGTGTTGTGTAATTACAATTTCAGTATGTATTTATACAAAATAAATAAAAAATCCACTTTGTTAGCGCGAAACGGAGTGGGAAAGAAGTGAAAACATGTTGACTCCCACTAACATAATTCAAATACATAATTATAATATTTAGCGTTAAATAATGATAACTATATAAGTAATGATGTAATAATAATAAAGTCAGTACTTCCTGCCTGTGACACATGAAGCTTCTAAACCCTGACTTCAGATGCAATCCACCTGCTGGAGTTTTTCTAGAAATGCTACAAACTCTGTAATATGTTTGACTGATTATTTTTGTTCCTGCTTTATTTTTATAATCATGTGTGTGCGCTTTCTTTGTTTTGCTTTTCTTTCTTTTTTTTACAAAAAAAAAGATAGAGCCAAGACCAACAAAGTTTCACCTAACAAACTGGCAACCTGAATGAGAGCTTAGATGGTCTTGTATTCTGCTCTCTGATTGGATAATCTGCTTTAAAATTGTTAACATAAGTATTATGAACATCATGCCCATTGTTTTTTTTTTCGTTAAGAATAACATTTATCCAGTTTAAGCTTTTGTTCAGAAAAGGCCAAATATGATTGTACTTATTGACCTGTTTTCTGATCTATCTTCTGATTAATATTGTTTAAAATTAAAATATCACAAATGGTGCCTTAGAGTATAAAGTCCATTCACTCACGAACAAGAAACATTGTGTCCTTAGGCAAGACACTTCACCCCCATTGCCTAGAATGAGTCTGGTGTGTGTGCGATCAGTTGGTGGTGGTCGGAGGGGCCAGTGGCACATACTGGTTGCCTCGCTTCTGTCAGTGTGCCCCAGGGCAGCTGTGGCTACACTAGTTGTTTATCACCACCGAGTATGGAGTGAGTGAATAATGACATGTGAAGCGTCTTTGAGTGTCTAAAAAAGCGCTGTATAAAACCGTTGCTTTATTATTATTATCATTAATGTATGAGAGTAAATAAAGAAGTACATGAAGCCTGTACTCTAATGTTGATAATTGGCTCCCAGCTGTAAAAAGCAAAGATATAATATTTTGAAAATGGAAAGCCTTGGCTTGTGTCACTTTGTCTGTAATGAGACTCTATCAAGTTGAGTTACAGAAATAAACTCATTTTTGAACCATTCTAATTTTTTGAGTTTCGGCTAAACATTTATCGAACGCTCAAGTTAGTGTTAAAGCAGATAAATGGCTCAGTGGAAGTCGACAAACCTAAAAACATTTATCTTGATTGTGAAGAGACATAAATGAGCAGAAAACATTTATCTGCGACGAGGAGGGAGAAAAGCTGGTTTGACAAAGAGGATTTATCTCATTACTCACATTCATGCTCTGACCTGCCGCCTCTGACCTACCCAGGGTCTATTGATTGTGTCTGGCTTCAAGACGATCACTGATTGGCTGATTACATGATTATTGAATTAGGAGGATTAAGAAGAAACATATGAATTCAGTTTTACTAAATCTGGAAATAAAAGATTTTAAACGTTCTACATTTCGTCTTAAGGTGGTATGGTGCTCACAGCAACAAGCTCCTGGGTTCAATTCCACCTGTAGACGGGGCCTTTCTGTGTGGAGTTTGCATGTTCTCCCCGTGTCTGCATAGGTTTGCATTATTATTTTTTTCACATGATTTGACTAAGCAGGAGATATTGGATCATTTACAAGGCACAATAACAAACATCTCAAGCCACACTAATGTGCCACACCACAGTGGTTGAAAAACACTGCCTCAGAGGCTTCTCTCTGTGTTCGGACCGCAGAGAGACACATATGTCATATACAGTAACACAATGGTCTACTGTGTGTGTTTATGAATCAGAATGAATACACACAGTAGACAAGATTGTGTCTATTGCTTTATGCATGACTTTATATCTGCTTTTCAAACTGTTTTATAACTTTGCACTGCTCACTTTCATAAGGTAAATATCGTTTTCACTTCTTAATATATCTTGTGTTTTGCACACGCTGAGTGATCCTTTTGATGCCAAGTACATTTCTCTTCTGTGAGATCAATAAAGTTTTATCATATCTCATAGCAAAGAATAGTTACTTCCTGTTCCTTACAATGTCAGTAAAATATTTGATTAGGACATAGATAACATGTTGGGAAAAGTGTGTGTATCTTTACAATGATAACAAAGAGATCCATTCTTGAAGGATTTTTTTTTTTTTAATGTCTGATTCTTTTGGGGATCTAGTTCAAAGTGAACAATATAGACACATATCGATGTCCTCCACATTCAGAGTGTGAACAGGTTTTCTCTCTTGTACGTCGGCCTTCACACACGCCGCACCTGGGACCCTCCGAGCTCAGGGGCCAGAGGTTAGAGCGGGGGCTCAGGTCAAGGCCGAGGGTCAGGAGGTCTCTGCCCTTGGCCTTGAGCCGCGATCGATACAACGTCAGGTCCAGAGCGCAATCAATCACACATTTACATTTAGCCCAGTCACACACTCATAATGTGCGTTTGGTCGTTTTGCTGTCGGAGAAAAAAAACACAACACAACTCTTCACTTGTGTTTCCGGCAGCCCTGAAGGTCCTGGTTCTAACCAAGCAGGCATAAAGTGTATACAGCTCCTCACACTACGGCACCTTCTAATCCTCAGACTTCTACTTTCTCATTGTTCCTTAGTTAGAATGAATAAAAAAGCCAGTCTCTTCCATTTTGCTCCTTGCAAATGGAATGCTCGACTCTCAAGTCTCTCCATGGCCTCGCACCAAAGTATATATGTGACATGTTAGTGCCATATGAACCAACGCAGACTTTGGGGAGCACAGGGACTGCCTCCTGCTGGGACTTTGAGGAGCACAGGGACTTCTTCCTGCTGGGACTGAGGAGCACAAGGACTGGCCTCTGGCTGGAGCCCACAGTCAGGACTAAACATGGGGAGGCAGCATATCAGATTCATGCAACTAAAATTTGGAACAGTCTATTTGAAAATTGAAAATAAAAGATGAATTTACAGGCATGTCTGAAAAAAATGGGAATATGGCATTTTTTCATGTTAGATAAATACCAATATATATCAATCTAACACATTGCACTTTGTAATCTTTTTTGTTTTATTCAAATAGACGTATCTGTTCAACTGGTGCCTTCTCACTTGTCTATGGAGGCTTGCAGCTCAGTATTACAGAGAGCTACTTTGCTGTTTGTTGTGGCTAATGAGAGTGTAATGTCAGATAGCAGGGTGATGCTAAGTGCAAATTCAGCTAATGGTGCTTGAAACATCTTAACGCCGCTATAACACAATCGCTGCTCCTTGTCGTTCGGCTGTGACAGAACGTTTAGGTCCGTATTTTAGGGGTCCCACTCTCCTTCCTCTTATCGCCCTTTTCTTTGTTCCCTGCAGCCTCTGTGACATGGGACACTTAGACAAACTGAGGGGGCTGCTGTTTGGACAGTGTTTCCTATTAAATGGCCCTTCCTTTATATTCACACACGGTGCATTTCCAGTCCCAGAGCAATTATACACATGAGTACACTTGCAGCTAAAGGAACAGGCTGAATCTTTATCACCATCCGAGGAGCAGTGGCACCATGACTCTGAGCCGTCTGCCTGCTCCGCCGTGTCTAGTGCCGTGGTCCAAATGACGGAGAATATTGTTTGGCTCTTTGGTTATAGGACCTGGATTTGAATGAGAGGCGTCAACGTTAGACCGGGATTAGCATTTTGCGTTCTCTGCAAAAAATCAGTCATTCCAAAAAAAAAACAAAAAAAACTTCTATTCTCGGCAATAAGAAGTACGTTTTTTACCGTGGATTTTGACTGAATCACAGGAAAGGCGACGCATAAAAGACTTGACAATGGCCACGAAAATCTCGGTAACACATTCCTCAGCACAATGTCCCCGGAGATGTACTTCCCAACATACCTCTAAAGTGAGAAATTAGACTTCCCGACTCTGAAACGATCTAATGGGATGAATTACTGCTTAACTATTTGCATCCCTATCTGAAATATTGTAATGTCGATAAATTACATGAACCGTATGGCTATAAGAAAATTAATTGAATTGAATTGCACTATAGGCACAGTGTCATGGTGTGGATTATTTGTTAATTGTTTTTATTTTGACTTTTTATTTTCATTTTTCCCTATGTTAGTCTGCCCCGCCCTGATGTGCTTCGCCTGTGTCTCTCTTTGCCTATATTCAATCCAATCCACTTTATCTATAGAGCACATTTCATAAACACAGTCTCCAAAGTGATGCGCAATAAAATACTAATAAAAAAGATCAGTAAAATCATTTAAAATCAAATAGGAAAAACTGTGTGAGCATATACCGTATGATTATACATAAAAATAACAATGAACACAAAATAAAATAAAATAAAAGAACCATACAACTCACGTAGTGTTGTGTGCGTATATGTACCTGTGCTTCTGTCCCCTTGTTGCTGGTCCATCGTCAATTTCTTGGACTTTTGTTTATCCATCCATCCATCCATTTTCTTCCCCTTAATCCATTTCTGGGTCAGGGGGGTGGCAGTCAGAGCTGCACCCAGTACACAGAGCACCAGCCCCTCACTGATCCTCCTGCAGGTGGTGAGTCCACAGGAGCTGAGATCTTTCAGTGGGAGCGTCAGGCAAAGTAGGGTTAAGTGTCTTGCCCAAGGACACAACGACAGCAGTCATCAGTGGGAGTCGTGAAGTAGGTCTTATGGTGGGCTCAAACCCACGACCTTCAGGCCCAAAGGCCAATGCTCTACCAACTGAGCTACTGTCGTCCTTTTGTTTATTATGTAATTAAATCATTATTATCGACATTCCTGCATTCTTGGGTTCCTCTTCATCTCACCACACGACACACTGTTTAATGACAATAATCCTGATTGTTTTCAGATAGCATTTTTTGGACCAATACGCTTCACATTATTCATTCACTCTTCACACGGTGGTGATGAACTACTACTGTCGGATGCGTATTCAGCACAATGTGTCTATCCAACTGTCTGTGAAACTGTATGTTATTGCTCTCTGCTGTTTATTCTACTGTTTGTCGCATGGCGCCGTAAAGATGGCGCCGTGGCAAGAGCTCTGGTGTGTGTCGTCTTCTCTGTCTGGTGCACACCGGGGTAGTCTTGCACAGTTTTTCCAATGTGGTTTTACTGCAAATGGCAAATAAATGAATCTGAATCTGAATCTGAGCATTTGACAGATTTGGGCAGGGAGCTGATTGGCTGGTGAGGGTGGTCCTCTCTTTTTCATGTCTTCTTGTCTGAGAAAGCGGATCTAAAGTAAAGATAAGACAAGATAAAGATAAACCTTTATTCGTCCCTCAGTGGGGAAATGTCAATGTCAGAGTTGTGCACATTACAGCAGAAAAGAAGGAGAAATAAGAGCACTCAGATTATGCACACATCAAACAGGATCCATTATTTAAATTTTAACGTCATAAGCAATAAAACAGATAATGTGATAGAACCAATCTGTTTTGAGAACGGTTTAGACCAGAGGTGTCCAAACCGGTCCAGAAAGGGCCACCGTGGCTGCAGGTTTTCTATCAGACCGAGCAGGAGCAGCGCAGACTCCGCCCATTTCCTCAAGTGAGTTCAGTCTTAACCTGAAGATTTGAGGAAATGGGTGGAGTCTGCTTTTTCCGAAATCCTCATGCAGATACAGATACACGTACAACTATACCCTATATTTCTTGCTCTAGACTAGAAAAGACAGTTTTTTATACTTGCATCTTAATTGCGCTAAAGTCAGAGATTTTATACACAATTCTTGCTTCTTCATTATGTTAAAGTTTAAAATTTACTTCTTTATTATGCTAAAGCTAGAGATTATATACTTGCTTCTTTTTCATGCTAAAGTCAGAGATTGTATTTGAGTATAAAGTTATTGATCATATATCTTGTGTTGTGTGCTCCTCATTCCTACAAATAAAGGATCTCTTCATCTAGATAATGTGATAGATACAATACTAATGTGAGAACTAACAATAGAACCAAACTGTTAAGAGAACGACTTAGACCGATAGTACTCGACGGTCGAACATTTGTGGCTTGACAGTTACATACCCCAGCGGTAAAATGCCTGTATAGACTTTGCTCTTGGAAAGTATAAAGCCCTCTCCTCGCGCACACTTGTCTCCTCCTGATGTTCGCGAGGCTAAACCACGTTTGAAGATGTGGACGGACGTTTGAACTCCTCAGCGTCCTCTTCCACGTCCCGGCGGGAAGAGTGTGAGGCCCGGACAGTCATGTAATATTTAGAGCCAGATCCTCCTTTGTGCTTGATCAAGTATTGGTTTAGAAAGACTGTGGCCGTGTGCGTGTGTGTGTGTGTGTGTGTGTGTGTGAGTGACCAGCTGCCC